TTTCCAAAAAACTACGACTTGGGATAAAGAAGGCCGCCTCATTGTCTCCATAAAAGCTTACCAAGTGAATATGTTATACGAGGTCAAACGAAGGCATTCATAATATTATAGATGCCACAGTTTTCCGCGGTTAGTGGGCGTGGCAAGATGCAACTTCGTAACAAGTTGCTGAGGCATCTCTTAAATACGTGTTCCTAAGCAAAATTTTGTAGCTCTTATAGCTTTCGATATTTTTGCATTTTTGGTTTTTCGGGTTTTGTGGGCGTTAGAGTTTCGCATTGGGAGCATCATAAAAACCTACATGCTTAATCCGAACTTTCTATCTCTTATAGTTACCGAGATATCAGCTTTCCTAGAAAATCCGAATACCGTCTTTTGAGCCTTGTGGGATAGTAGTACCACTATAGATGTGCTGGCATCTAAAGATTATACTTTATGAATTTCAACTTTCTAGCTCCAATAGTTCCTGAGATTTCAACAATTTTTTTTTGCGATTTGTGGGCGTTAGAGTGGGCGTGGCAGGATGCTGTAATAAACTTGCGCTGCGTAGGGACCTCAAGAATATTCATGCTTAATCTGAACTTTGTATCTCCTATAGTTCCTGAGATCTTAGCGTTCATACGGACAGACGGACATGGCTCATTTCGCTATTCATCCTGATCAAGAATATATACTTTATAGGGTCGGAAACGCTTCCTTCTACCTGTTACATACTTTTCAACGAATCTAATGGTAGTCTGACATTTGCTAAATGGATCAGGTGCCAGCTATAACGCGGCACGGGAGCTTATATGCAAGCTCTACGAAAACAATCCCAAAATATTTGCTGACCGCGTCAACCAACTCTTGGACATGGAACTGCTGAAGAACAATGATGAAGGCAGTATCCGTAAATTCTTAGACACAGCAACAGAGTGTCTTTATATTATCAAAGAAAACGGCCAAATTGGCAAAGAATCTGATGCCATATTCGATCAGATATTGCTGCGCAAATTTTCTCAAGAAGCCCTACAACTTTACGAGCAACATATAAAGAAGGCCAGGGAAATTCAGGAGTTGGATAATGTGCTGGAATTTATTGAGCAATTGTACAACTCAATAGATTCAGTGCAAAAAAGTGTCATCTATGTAGAAGGAAAGAAAATGGAGGGGCACGAAATTGGCAGATGCCAAAAATTCAAAGCAGAAAGAGTCAAAAAACGTAAAAGAATTTGTGTTTAAGAACTCGTTATGATTGGATAGGCTGCGAGCTAGCTGACTCATACTTCAACGAGCCTAGTAGAATCGATATAGTAATTGGCGTTGACTTATTCCCACTTATCATGTTGGGCCAAGTCAAAAGAGTCAAAGACACATTAGGACAAAAAAACACATTAGGATGGATTGTCTCGGGCAGCATAGCTAGAGCATCGGACAAAAAGGTCATCAGCGCAGCAACAACAATATGTTAAGATGACCTCGAGCGCTTCTGGGAACTAGAAGAGGAAACCAGTGAGTCGGAGGAAAGCATTAGATGTGAACAACTTTTCCAAAAAACTACGACTTGGGATAAAGAAAGCCGCCTCATGGTCTTCATAAAAGCTTACCAAGTGAATATGTTATACGAGGTCAAACGAAGGCATTCATAATAATATTATAGACGCCACAGTTTTCCGCGGTTTGTGGGCGTGGCAAGATGGAACTTCGATGCAGAGGCATCTCTTAAATACGTGTTCCTATGCAAAATTTTGTAGCTCTTATAGTTTTCGAGATTTTTGCATTTTTGGTTTTTCGGGTTTTGTGGGCGTTAGAGTTTCGCATTGGGAGCATCATAAAAACCTACATGCTTAATCCGAACTTTCTATCTCTTATAGTTACCGAGATATCAGCTTTTCTAGAAAATCCGAAAACCGTCTTTTGAGCCTTGTGGGCGTATGGGTGGGTGTGGCTGGATAGTAGTACCACTATAGATGTGCTGGCATCTAAAGATTATACTTTATGAATTTCAACTTTCTAGCTCCAATAGTTCCTGAGATTTCAACAATTTTTTTTTGCGATTTGTGGGCGTTAGAGTGAGCATGGCAGGATGCTGTAATAAAGTTGCGCTGCGTAGGGACCTCAAGAATCTTCATGCTTAATCTGAACTTTGTATATCTTATAGTTCCTGAGATCTTAGCGTTCATACGGACAGACGGACAGACGGACATGGCTCATTTCGCTATTCATCCTGATCAAGAATATATATACTTTATAGGGTCGGAAACGCTTCCTTCTACTTGTTACATACTTTTCAACGAATCTAATGGTAGTCTGACATTTGCTAAATGGATCAGGTGCCAGCTAAACCGCGGCACGGGAGCTTATATGCAAGCGCTACGAAAACAATCCCAAAATATTTGCTGACCGCGTCAACCAACTCTTGGACATGGAACTGCTGAAGAACAATGATGAAGGCAGTATCCGTAAATTCTTAGACACAGCAACAGAGTGTCTTTTTATTATCAAAGAAAACGGCCAAATTGGCAAAGAAGCTCATGCCATATTCGATCAGATATTGCTGCACAAATTTTCTCAAGAAGCCCTACAACTTTACGAGCAACATATAAAGAAGGCCAGGGAAATTCAGGAGTTGGATAATGTGCTGGAATTTATTGAGCAATTGTACAACTCAATAGATTCAGTGCAAAAAAGTGTCATCTATGTAGAAGGAAAGAAAATGGAGGGGCACGAAATTGGCAGATACTCTTATATCAGAGGAAGCAGCTTATCAGTTAAACGTTCGGAAAACAAAGAGCATTATAGAATTTCAAGGCATCTCACAAAGCGTTGAAGCGCTGAAGAATAGCGTGAACTTGGAAATCAAACTAAGGTTTAAAAGCACCTTTAAAGCAACAACGCAAGCCTTGGTATTACCAAAGCTACAAAGAGTTGTCATGGATATCAATAAAGATTGGATGGGCTGCGAGCTAGCTGACCCATACTTCAACGAGCCTAGTAGAATCGATATAGTAATTGGCGTTGACTTATTCCCACTTATCATGTTGGGCCAAGTCAAAAGAGTCAAAGACACGTTAGGACAAAAAAACACATTAGGATGGATTGTCTCGGGCAACAAAGCTAGAGCATCGGACAAAAAGGTCATCAGCGCAGCAACAATATGTTAAGATGACCTCGAGCGCTTCTGGGAACTAGAAGAAGAAACCAGTGAGTCAGAGGAAAGCATCAGATGTGAACAACTTTTCCAAAGAACTACGACTTGGGATAAAGAAGGCCGCCTCATTGTCTCCATACCATTCCGGAACGACTTCGTCTTAGGAGATTCTCGGAGGCAGGCTATGGTAAGACTGCTTCAAATGGAAAAAAATTCAGGAAGCAACCCCAAATCTTCACTGAATACAATAGCTTCATGAAAGAGTACTTGGAACTGGGACACATGGAACCAGTAAACACCATTAGCAAAGGCAAATACTATTTGCCACACAAAGCTGTCATCAGACCCGATAGCTTAACTACAAAACTTCGAGAAGTTTTTGATGCTTCAGTCAAAACATCCAATGGATTAAGCCTAAATGATGTAACAATTATAGAAAATTTTTACATGGACGATCTCATTACTGGTGGTAGCACAATCGGCGAATGCATTAGGATACAAACACAGCTAAGAAACATGGCTTGAACTTACGGAAGTGGGTGTCAAACGATGACAAAATGATCGCTGGAATTAAAGATGGCTTTGCAGCGGAAAAATATCAATTAGTGAAGACGAATCAGTGAAAACCCTTGGCCTGCAATGGGATCCAAAAAATGTTTTTTGTTGACTGTCCAAAATTAGGTCGCATTACAAAGCCACTAGGATGGTTGACACTCGTTCGCACATACTGTCCCTTTCGTTGCAAAAAAACTCTCTAGTCCTAAAAAAAAACGAAACACTCCATTTCACAAGCTCTAAATTAAAAAAAACCTAGTAAATTATTCACATCCTATTCTAACCACAACTTTACATAAACAGTTAGCATCAAGGCCGGTAAATTAACCACCTATACCATAACAAGAAAACTTGTATACCAGACAACGGCAAGGTTACACCCAAATAATAATTGTAGTAGAATCATCTGTACGTTTTCGGCACATATAGTGTGATCGGCACCCTAAAATAAGGGTGGTTGCCTTGCACTGATCATTTCGAATGTGATCATACGCACAAACTATTCTGTTCCACAGACACCCAAAACACTTCAAGCAAAAAAAGGGAGTGTTCGAAACACCCATGTTTCGGGATGACTGATTCGGGTGTCTTCAACTGATTTGAGTGTTTCGGGTGTCTTCAACTGTTTTGAGTGTTTCGGGTGTCGTCAACCGCTTTGCATGAGCAAATCATTGAGGATTGACCAAATAATTTTACATGAATATAGCCCCTTAAGAAAGTCCAAATATCTGGTTTTTCGTTTGGATTAATTTTAATCTTATTACTTATTACCGTTTATTGCAGATGCGTATAAGAATACAGATCATAAGTCAATTGCACTGCGAGTAGCAGGTTGATGGCTTGCAGTGTTGTTTCGAACATTCCCTTCTTTTGCTGTAAGTGTTTTGGGCGTCTGTGCAATAGAATCGAGTACATAGAATTGCGTGAATGACGAAAAGCAAATACACAAAACACCCATAGCGATTTGTGAGTGCGGGTGTGTTACTCTTTTCTTTCTGTTTGTGAGTGCGACAAACACCCGAATGTGTAAGTGTGATTCGGGTGCCAAAAAAAAAAACACCCTTGACGTTCTCTGCTATATACATTTCTCAGTACTATCGAGTAAGATTATAGCAATCCATTAAGCCATCGAAATCTTAACTAAATTACCAGGCAAACATGCTATCTGTAACTCCTTTTAAATAATTTTTTGTAAACACTAAATTAAAACTCAAATTAAAGCTTATCAAATCCATTAACTAAATACGCTTGAAATTAAAAATAAATGTTTGACCTGGATTTTTAGATTCCTCATTCCGAACGCAAAAAAAGAATGTAAGCTTAATATGCAGAATTTATTCCTGTTTTTTTTTTGTTTGTTTTAAATCACAAGAACAATGTTTATAAATTGCTGTAAATTATGCTATATATGCTTTTATTTTTTTTTATAAGAAACATACAAATATTTTATTCAGATCCATCATCGTCAAGTCCAGAATATTTATTAGACGATTGCAAAACCTGAAATAAAGAATTTAATGATCAGATAAATGCTGCTTTTAGTCGATTTTACGGTGTTCCGCAAAACTAATTCACGTGATTTCCTTAAGCTTACAGCTAAGGCTTAATTAAATCTGGAAACAGAAGACTTTACATTTAAATAATGAATCAATGAAAATATGCAAATATTTGTTAGTTTTCCAGTGTCAAAGTTATGTTAAAATACTATTAAAACGAGATTATTGTTGGGCTAATGATGACCCTAATAACCTTTTCTGGTTAAAAAGTGAGACATAAATAGAAAACTTTTTGGTGCGCAGTTGGTTCAAAAGAAATCAATGCTGCAGTTGAGTGTTATATAAAATACTCGTTAATCTGTTAAACCTTTTAAATGTAAAATAAATATCATTGAAGTAGAAAAGGCCAAACCTTAAAATAATAATTATTCTAACTTACGGTAATTACAAATTATCTTGTTAAAAAATGTTACAATAGAAAGAAGGGTTTTTATAATCAATATTTCAAGTCAAAACGATAAACGTGATGCACTACAAGTAGTACAAGTGGTCCAATGACTGAAGCCACTTGCTAGCGACACGCGACACGCATGTAATAATCTATATATATCAATGCATAAGGTAATAATTACTACAAACAATATGAATAAGTTAATGCAGTTTAAAATTGATATACATCTAGGCAAGAAGAGGTTAAAAATTAGACGTTGACAAGAACTGACAATATTTTGCAAAAAAACAGAAGGTAAAATTCTACGTTTAAAAGATTCAATACTCTCTGAGTAACCTAGGTCTAGTCTACTAGGATAAAACAGGAAGAAACTCTATAGTCGAGTTCCCCGACTATAAGATACCCGTTATTGCCTTATCCAATTTTAATGTATTAATTATGCTAGCGAAAACGGAGAAATCGCCACCATTTTTCAGAAAAGTATGTTTAGTAACTGATTGAACCGTCTCTGTCTATGTGAGGCCTTATAACATGAATTTCATCATAAATAGCGAAATAATGTTCCGATTTTAAAATCGTTTGTAAATCGTTAGATAGACAAAAAATGTTATACAAAGAAAAACATTTTGTATAACATTTTTATAGTTGGCAGCTCTAGCTCTAAACAGAGCTAACGAGTATGTGGCAACTCTCTAGAAGTGAAACTAGCAGCCCTTTTTAAACAGTTAAATTTTAAATTTTGAATACCAGAAACCAAAACAACACACTGCGTATGTCAGAACTATCCGTGCAATCACAGAACAACGCGGTGAACTGTTTTTCATAGATGCGACTGGTGGTAGACTGGTTAGACTTTTCTTCTGTCGCTCATTTTGGCAACCATACGATCACAAAATAATATTGCACTGGCTATTGCATGATCTGGAATTGTGGGAACTCTTTGGATTGTGGACGAATAGCACATTCAGCATTGGAGCTACCATTAAATTTACAAAACACTGAGGCTCCAATATGCAACATCAACAAAAACTCTGGAATGGGCAAAGTTCTCAAAACGTGTCAAATTATTATTGGTGACCAAAAACGCCCACACCATCAACACCGCTATTCTGATTGAAATACCTGGCAAAAATACAACATATAAATCCATCGATACTGTGATGAGTCAGGACAAAGTTGTCAACTATCCAACCGAAATCTATATTTGACATGCTTGTTACCGCACGTGCTTACATTGAAAATTGGCGTACCCATCATTCTCCTTCGAAATATATATCCATCTAGACTTTGCAACTAGTAACCAGGCTCATAGTCAAGAAACTGATTAATAATGTTATCGAAAGAACAATTTTGACAGGAAAATTCAAAGGTGCAGACGACTGTTGCACGTATCCCAATGATTCTGACGAATATGCCGTTCAAATTCGAATTCAAACGTTAGCAGTTCCCGGTGCAACTTGCCTTCGCAATGACTATCAACAAAGCACAAGGACAATCATTGCAAGTGTGTGGACTATTTATTATAATTTATGGACTGATTTATTCGTTTACGCACCTGATGGAAAAACAAAAAACATTGTAAAAGTACTTCAATAAATGTTGAATAGAAACCTAAATGAAAATTATTTTATTAATTTTATTTTGCCCGTGCATCGTAGATAAGCCTTAGAAGGCTATGTCAAGCTTAAAAAGCGGAGCGCGCAGTGGACGGGCGCCCTTCTCATTGAAAGCATACCGAGCGAAGCGATGCGGGCGCACTAGTCTCTTATAGTTCCTCATATCTCAGCGTTCATACGGACAGATGTAATGTAATCCACTGGGCTATTTATTCTGATCAAGAAATATAACTTTATAGGGTCAAAAACGCTTCCCTATATACCTGTTACATGTACGAGCAACATATACAAACTCAAAGAAAACCATTCGCACAATGTTTCAGTCGAAATACTAACAGTTCTAAATTGCTCAGGATTTCCTGAAATTTGGTTGCACAAGAACGTATCTAAGGACATGTTCCTACTTTATAACGGAAGTTGGCTTTTTCTCTCTCTCTCTCTTATGTTAATCAGTTCTGTTGTGTGTGTTTTCCGTCTCTTTCCGACTCTGCATCACTGCAGGGTGACCGTTCGTTGTAGTCAGCTACTTGCCGCAACGAGATTTCCAGAACCAGCGACGTGCCACAGTAGCAACCTTCTGCACCTTCATATTATCTGTGGTCCGCGGAAGCAGCTGCTACTACTACCTGTCTAGTGCTTAGCCAGAAGTCCTATCGACAAAACAGCCATTAATCGAGCGGCCAGTAGGTTTGAGGACTTCAACCTGTGGCAGTTAAAATGTTCGTTGTAGTCAGCTACTTGCCGCAACGAGATTTCCAGAACCAGCGACGTGCCACAGTAGCAACCTTCTGCACCTTCATATTATCTGTGGTCCGCGGAAGCAGCTGCTACTACTACCTGTCTAGTGCTTAGCCAGAAGTCCTATCGACAAAACAGCCATTAATCGAGCGGCCAGTAGGTTTGAGGACTTCAACCTGTGGCAGTTAAAATGTGTGCCTATTTTGTCTTTTTTCGCAGATGCGTCGGACTTAATATGGTAAGTTTAGAGAGGACATAACGAAAAGAATAAAGCAATTGAACTTTGGAATGCAAGAATTAAACAATTATCTTAGTTCTCAAAATCATTATAAATTTAAAAATATTTTTTATCCTAGATTTGTTAAAAATAAAAATAATAATACCAAGACAAAATTTTACTCACTTGCTCATTATGGGTAATATTCTTCGGCAGTGAACGGTCATTACGATAACCTCGTTTGAGTTTAAAATCTTCTTTAGTTTTGCTTACGCCGTTTGTATTATCGTTTTCTTTTAAGAGTTCCAGCCTGCAAATATAATGTATAACCATTTAAAGTAGAAATGAAAAATACTTTGAAATAATCGACACATCGATCAGTAATTTAATAGTTAAAAACATAATGTAAAAGGAAAAACAAGCAATCGCTATAGTCGAGTGTCACGTCTATAAGATACAGGGTACTCTGTTTCACACAATTTAAAAATATTCATTTTGATATTGGAAATTCACGAAGCGCCCACCTATTGTCAGAGAAACCATGTTGAGTAACTAATAGTGATGTCACTGCCCATGTGAGGCCCTATAACCTACATTTATTTTCATAAATAGCGAAATAATGTTCCGATTAGAAAAATTGATATCGATTAGATATTGACAAAAAAATTGTTATACAAGGTCAAACATTATACATACATTATAATATTATGGATGCCTAAGTTTTTCGCGGTTTGTGGACGTGGCTAATTCTAATTTTGTTCTTGACTCCACATGTTAGGGCATTTTACCAATAGAATTACAATTCAGCTATTTAATATATTCGCCTAAGGTATCATTCAAGTCAAATTTGACAAAACACATGAGTAACAAGAAGGAAGCATATATGAATATAAATTAATCGATAGAACATTGTTCAGATCAAATTTTTAATTAGAGTTATTAAAACATAGTAAAGATAAATGCCTTTTTGGTAGCTTATTTATTTTGAAACTAACCAACTAAAGGATATAATAGGCGTAATATCGTGTTCGTTCGTTCATGTTTATATTTTAGTACACCTTACTCGAGAGATAAATGCTAATATAAATTTAATAATTTAATTCACAAATCGCAAAAATCTGTGGAGGCCAAAATATAAGGGTTAAAATTTTAGCTTGACCTCAAATATTTTTTTTTGTCAATAGACAAAAATTAAGGTACTAAAGGCTTAAATTAAATTGGCAGAGTTGTTATCCTGAGATAAAAAATGCCTATATGGTTGCTGCAACCGATAACGCCAGTAATCGGCGCTTAGTTTGGTTTGATCTGACCATTTTACAAATTTGTAAGGTGGAAAAGCAACAATATTTGGCTTAACGCAAAGACTATGCTGAAAACACAAAAAGAAACGCTAGAGTCGAGTTTTAAATCAATCAATTAATCATTTGGCTATCAGAAATTGGCACACCCCCTCATGTCTAATAAATAATGGTGACCTTTCAATAAATCGAAATGTTCCAATTTTAATTTTTTCTATATCGATAGATATTGACAAAATATATATATTATATATTATACAAGATCAAACGAAATCAAATGAATAAAATTAAAATTAACTTTTCTAGGTGGCAGAACACACCTACAACTCACGGACCTCCCATCTTAGCAAATTTGAGGCACCTTATAAATAAAAACTGGATATTTAGGCTATAGATTTAAGATTTTATAACTTTTTTTAAGTCTCCAAAGAAGAAGATTCGAAATATAATAGCAACTAACTATCATTCTAGTTAGTTCTTTTGTCATTATATTGTGAAATATATTATAATAATTAACATATTAAAAAACGAGAAGAAAAGCTATAATCGAGTGGCGCGACTACAAGATACTCGTTACTGTTTCATCCAATTTTAAAATATCAATTTTGTTAAAAAAAAATTTAAGAAAATGCTTAATTAAAAAATAATGAGAACGTTACTGTCCAGGTGAGGCCTTATAACCTAGACTTCTTAATAAAATGCAAAACAATTGGTTCGGTGTTATAAAATTTCAAACAAAACATACATTTTAATATGGACGTGAGACAGTTTTCCGCGGTTTATGAGCGTTAGAGTGGGTGTGCTCAGATAGTGCTCAGAAAAAATAATACGCATTAGGGATATCATTAAAAACTCAATTATTAATCCCAATTTTTTATCACGTTTAGTTACCAATATCTTAGCGTTCTTTAGCATCTTAGCATCTTAAGATGTTAAATTGTGCAACCATAATCAGATACTCAGATAAATAATAATAAGACTGCAGTGCATTATTTGAAAGGCTTTTAGCGCTCTAATAGCTCTAATGATTGGTAAATTGATACAATTTTTTAAATTTAATTTTTTTTACATACCTGTCATATTGGTCAGGATGATGATTTATTTTATAATTTACGTCACGGGATTTGTTGTCTAAAAAAAAAGTTCTTTACTTAAATTACAATTATATATATATATTCGGAATAATCATAAAAGCATACTAGACATAGTATAAATATAAATATATTTATATAAAAATGAATGTAACCATATATGTCCGGCAACGGACTTTAATGAATATTTTTGGACGTTTTCAAAGGGGGTCCGGGCGTGTTTAGAAATCATAAACGAGACAAATTTGTAACACAAAACAAGCAATCGCTATAGTTGTTACTGTTTTACACAATTTAAAAATATTTATTTTGATATTGGAAATTCACGAAAAGCCCACCTATTGTCAGAGAAAGCATGTTGAGTAACTAATACTGATGTCACTGCCCAAGTGAGGCCCTATAACCTTAATTTCTTCATAAATAGCGAAGTAATGTTCCGATTTGATCTTTGGTAAATCGATAGATATTGACAAATATATGTTATACAAGGTCAAACGAAGACATACATTATAATATAGTGGACGCCAGTTTGTAGGCGAAAGAGTGGGCGTTGTCGGATAATGGTAATACCGTAGAATGCGCTGGCATAAATCCCAACTTTATAGCTTTAATAGTTTGTGAGATTTCATCGACTTAAGTTTCCGTACTTTGTGAGCGTGGCAAGATGCTGAAACTTGCGCTGCGTAGGGACCTCAAGAATCTGCTTCCTTAATATCAACTTTGTATCTAATATAGTTCCTGAGATCTCAGCGTTCGGACAGACGGACATGGCTCAATGTACTTCACTATTGATCCTGATTAAGAATCTATATACTTTATAAGGCCGGAAACGCTTCCTTCAGCCTGTTATATACTTTTTTTTTTAATTCTCAACCATGAAAAGTAAAATAAATCGATATCGGCAGGCTAAAACGCTAAGCTACGGAACTTTGATATGCAAATACGGAATAACCACAGTGTAGTATTACGTCGAGTCGAATAAGAGAACTTAAATGATTATTAACAATGTTTTGCAAATATTCATAACAGGACTTAGACGTCATATGCGACAATCATTGTGATAAAACAAATAATTGCCATGCTATTCGTACTGATTTGGATGCTACTGACTTTTACTGTGAAGTTCAGTTCCAGTAATCGGATGAAAAGTTCCGCGGGAAACAGGTCCTACCTGATTTATTATCTTGTAAATGAATAATCTGGATTGTTCTAAGATGCTAAGAAATATATAGAATTTAGGCCGATTATTTGCAACCCATTCAGATCACTTAAATTGAATCCTTTATACATACGAGGTGTGTTCAAAAAGTAAGGTGACTCTTCAAATTTCGCGAATTTCAAATTTTTCGATTATCGAAACCTTTTAGAAGTTATACGAGGTGTGTTCAAAAAGTAAGGTGACTTTTCAAATTTCAAATTTTTCGATTATCTTCAGTTTTGGGAACAAGAAAAAGTCACATGGGGCCAAATCCGGTGAATATGGTGGCTGAGGCATTATTGTGGTGTTGTTTTTGGCCAAAAAATCCAAATCCTTTGATCCATATTTTTCGATAGCAAAAAATCGCCGAGCTCGCAAAACAACTTGTAACTTTACGCCTCTCACAACCAAACAAAAGAGGATGTTCCATTGAAACTTGGTACAGATGTTAGGGAAGAGTGTACCAATATAACAAAACAAAAAAATCGATAATCGAAAAATTTGAAATTCGCGAAATTTGAAGAGTCACCTTACTTTTTGAACACACCTCGTATGTATATACAGAGTCGCTTGAGTCGAAGGTGCTATCAAGTAGTACTTTTTAAAAAATGTATTAGATTTGGTATTGTATAGTAGATTTAAGTTTGTTAAATAAATACAATTATACAGATCTCAGCGTCCATGTCAACAAATTGACTGAGCTATTGGTCATGATTAAGAATACATATACTTAATAGGGTCGAAAACGCTTCATTCGACCTCTTACATACTTTTCAACGAATGGATTATAACCTTTGATTCTACAAGAAACTGCTATAAAATAATTACCTTGACACACCTTGTTGTCTTGATGGCGGCGCCAGCTAACTGTTGCATTTACACTTTCGTTATCATTTTTATCGATTTGCACTTCAGCCAGCTTGTCAGTTAAAGACTCCTCTTCCTGTCGATTTCCACCCTGTTTTCGTGCAAGAGCTAAACGTTCTTCAATTTCCAATTCTCTTGCTGCAGTATCCACCGGTTTTGCTGATCCAAAGACATTAATTAATGGAGTTGCAGTTTGTTGTATCAAATTTGCTTTGTCGAAATCGTTCTTTTCAAAACCAATTTGTTTAATATCTGGCAATGGTAAAGTTCGTGGTTTTAAATTTAATTTTGGCCTTTCTTCAAATTTGAAAGCCTCTTCACGGGAATATCGTTCTACAGTTCTGCGACCGTCGCGATATTTATCAGATACCACTTCGACCTCCCTTCTAGTGGGCGAGGAATCAATAGATCGCGGTCTAGCGCTTGTGCGCCAAGATCCAGGAGTGTTTGCTTCTTCTCTTTCTGGTAAAGCCTTTCTCTCCCTATTATAGCTTTTGTCGAAATTGGAAGAATATCCAAAACTACTTCCATTATTTTGATTATCTCGTCTCCAATTTCCAGATTCTCTATTATCTCCACTATTTCCAAAACCATCAAACCGCCTATTAGTTTTTTGCCGGGTTTGCTGGTCGTTTTCATTGGATAACTCAATACGAATGCGTCGACCTTTAATAGATGGATCCGGTAAACTAAGAACATGTATTAAATCATCTCGGTTCTCTAATTCAACATATCCGAAACCTCGTGAACGACCGTTTTCGCCGTCTTCACGCGGAAGTCTAAGAGATACTAAATTAATACCACCAAAAAACTCATAAAGGTCATCTTCATTTGCATCAAATGGTAAGTTGTTGATATAAGCAATAAACGGGGCTTTATGAGGAATAGAATTATCATCAAATATTCTATTTGCTCTTGGAGCTGTTGGAAGCTGATAAACTAGTGGTAGTGTACAACTTCCTTCATCGCTGTCTTCGCCGTCTAAATTTCGTATTTTCTTTGAAACTTGGGTGGTTCCGGCTGGTGTGTCAGCACTGGATAGAAACGATTGCAAGGATATAACCGTTCCTTTATTTTTTTTCCCCTTTTTTCCTAGAATAATCAATTATATAGTAAAGTAATTTAAATTACGTACAAATAAGATATGTACAATAAAAAAATTATCGTGAATATGTACATACATATATAATAATCGTAAATATATTTATGTATTTGACTACATTAAATTACAGTATCATTTACATTACGTGTCTAAACTAAAACCATGTGGAAATTCGATAGTATTGGCAGAAGTATATTCAAACTGTGTATTTTTCACAATTTTTAAATGAATATAAAAATATTATTTTTAAATTAATTAAATAATATATCAAACCTGCAGAAGCCATTTTACTGAATAATTCCAAACAAACTTTAATTTTGATAATTCTACGAATAGATGTTCATATGTACATATGGAAACTAATTTCCTTATATCGTTATCGAATTTTCTATTGGAACAGTTTCACTGGCCCTACTCGTGCTTGACAAGGTAGCATCTTAAGTTAATCGATGAAATCAGAACATCGGATAAGATAATATATTTTGCAATTATTATTATTATTAGATATATAATAAACTCTAAAATGTAACTGTGCAGATTTATCCATTAACTTTTAAAGTTAAATAACCAATAAAATTATGTTCAAATAATTTACTTTAACATTTACTGTTAAGATTACTAAAATGACAGGAATAAGTGCAGCACTTATATGAATACATTATTTGGTTTTCGCCCGAAGGTTTCAGAATGATATGAGATCTGGAAAGATATGAAATCTTAAGTTCTATTCTTAATAAACCCTGACATCCAAACATAGCCCTGTATTCAGTTCCGTTACTGGCATGCTGACCTTGTAATCAATGCGAGAACGTGTTCTTCAGCCGCCTGGAAGCAGAGTTTAATTGTAGGTTACGAGTCAGCATTTTGCTGGGTGCGTTGAACCATATAATTTATTTATTTATTTGTAAGGCCCACTATGTTATTGAATTCCTAATTCCTTTAGTCCCCGTCACATCAACATCTTCAGATTATCGCGTTTTGTGGCTTTGTATTTGGCGAGAAACGTACACTGTCGTAGTATCCAACGGTAGGCGTTAGCGTGTGCGTGGCCTTGAGAATTTTTCTATTAGAAACTTTATATCTCTTATAGTTTCTAAAGCACATAATTTTATTTTACGAGTAACGTGTACATATGTATATATACGACCAGTCAAAAATTATTTGACAAGACCGCAACAAATTGTTACCAAAAATGATTGTTTCCGAAATTTTTTTTTATATAAAACGGTATGCGGATTGAAGTTCATCATTTTAATAGGACAAGTAAATTATTACGAAAAATAAATAAATAAAATTAAATTAGATACGTAAAGAGTGGTATTATATTTTAAAATAAATGTTGAAACGTTTAGTTATTTTATGTTTTATAATCTTTATTACGGCAGCATTATGTGGTGAAACTATAGTGCTAGATCCGATGTTATCGAATTTTAGCTTAAAATCGCATTCCCAATTTTAACTCTACATTGCACATTGAGCCAGCGAGCGGACTTTCGACGAAAATTAAAGTTTCAAAGCGAGGTTGTCGCGCGATTATCGAGTTTGGTATTTAATATTGGAATTTTGGTATTGTTCCTCATGAAGAGATCGGGCCTAGGGTTGTCGAATATTTTTAAAATATCGTATCGATGATATTTTTTTATCAAAAAATATGATGATAATATTTTTAAATATCACCGAAAAATATCGATATATTTTATAATTAAAATATTAAATGAAAATATTATTTTTTGCGTAATAAAAAAAACGTGCTTTATAAATTTATACATTTTTTAATTATAATTTTAACTAAAGCAAATTTAACATTAAACCCAACTTGCGGAATTTAAAGATTTGTTTGATGTGTATGTCCGTCATTCTGCTTCTAGCGTCGCAAACGACACATTTTATGGCGGATGCCAGCCGCTCTGATGGCACCGAGCTGCCTGGGGTGATAAGGTGTTTCATGGACACCTTGTAAAGGGGCGGCATGGTCGCCCTATGGGATTTCCATACTTCCAACTGGTTACATTCCCTAGCAGCTTGGGGCAATTTTGGGATTGAGTGATTGTGTGAGCTCACGAAATCGTCAAAACAGTCTTCCGGTTTTGTGACATCAGAAATCTGTAAAAATGTAAAAAATTTATTTACTATATATTTAAGAATGTGTTTATATTATTATTAGAACAATGTTAAATGTTATAATATTAAGCCTATTAGTTTTACTTTTTAGTAAATTAGTTATTCAGGTAAACAAAATTTTAACTAGATGACATACCCTTCCCTTAACAGTAAATTTATTGATATCAAGTGTAATATCAGCAATGGCATCCTTTACCGTTAGAGGCGCCAAATACATTTTTTTAAACCTATGGTCTAAAAATGTTGATTTAACCAATATTTCATTAGTTTGCAAAGCCTGAAACCTTCTATCAGAAAATTTCAAGAGCGCATCTTTAGCTCTTTCGCCTTCCTTCGTCTCCATTTCCAATGTTTTAATTTTGGCTGCTAACATTGAAATAAGTGGTATTACTAAACTAACAGTTACGTAATTTTCCCCACTTATTTGCTCTGTTGCTTTTTTGAAAGATTGAAGGAGACTACATACGTCTCGGCATATTGTTAGCTCTGACACATTGAGCATTTCGAGGAGTCCTTTGGCACGTTCCGATTTCTGTAGCAAAATAAGAGCCACCTTGTTGGCTAAGCCTAAAAAGGACTCCATCATATCCAGGCAAAAGATCCACCTGGTGTCCACATTTTGTATGAGGGTCTTAGTTCGGGAGTTCCCTCATCCGATTGGGCCTTTCTTAGCTGGTCCATCATATCCGGACTATGCTTAAAATGAATGACCGCTCTTTTTATTTTATCCACGATACTGGAAAATGAACATATTTCTATGATAGTTTCATCTACTACAAGGTTTATGCAGTGGGCGAAACACGGCACATGTTTGTTCAGTCCAAGAAACAGTTTGGCAGCGCACTTCATGTTGCTTTCGCTGTCTGTCGTGAGAGTTGTGCACTTAATTTTATCTATGTTAAATTTGGCGCACGCCTCTTCCAACAAAGTGGTTACATATTCACTGGTATGCGACTTAATTGAAATTGGAAAATATTACTTAAATTTACTTAAATTTAATAAATAAAAACCACATAATACATCGACATCGACAACACCAACAAAAACAACACACAATTGACAACAAAACACAATTTACAAAAAAAAAATATATATATATATATTTCAACACACTTGATTCATTCTTGACGATGCAAGGCAGATTGAATTTAGCGAATCTTTCTTGGTAAGGAAAGAGCGACTAGAATTTGGTATGGTCACGGCGTCGCAGGTAAACGCAACATCCTTTACTTCACTTAACATTTTCAGCTCATGTACACAATTGCTTTACATCTTTTGTCTTATTTCCATTCTCTAAAGAGGAAATGAAAGTAATGAATGCCACTTGCTCTTTTCTTCGTTTCATTTTTGGCTTTAAAGGCTTCAACACTCTTGAAGGATTCAGATATTGTAAGCACTTTTTCCAAGTTCACAGATAGCTAAAAATTAAAACAAATGAATATATTGTAATATATTGTTAGCCGCGTGTTAAACTTTGATATTCATTGGAATTGATATTTCATTGGAACCCATAGACGCACATACTCATACACACACATGCTTTTCATACATACCTTCTTTTGCGCGCATTTTGTAACACTTCGCTATGCTTATTGCGCAAGTGCGACGACAGATTCGATGTGTTTCCGCTGGTCTTTATTGTTTTAGTACAATGAATGCACTTGGCGGTGCCGCCTGTTATATTTGTGTAATTTGATTTAACATTCATTTTTCAGTTATCTTTCTATACAATCAAGTAATCTACGCTTCAAAATTCAGCGTGACCAAGGAAAAAATATCAAAAAAATATAAAAAAAAAATATGATTTCGATATTTGGCCAAAATAATATATATAAGTATATCATTTTTAGAAAAAATATCGATATATTGATATTTTGATATGTTATCAACAACCTTATCGGGCACACTAGATAGATAAATATGGCGCGTTCGTGGTGAGTTTTTCGTCAAAAGCCGTGAAGTGTGGGAAGTTATACCGCGGTAAACGATATTTTGTATTAGGATTACTTCTTTAAACTTGTATTCCCCACTAGAATAAAACATACATACGCACGATCATACATTTATGCGTTTTTGCCGTATCGCCAACGTATAGCCCAGCAATTTCGCGTGCGCCAGCTCCTTCGCTATATATATACTAGGTTCGTTGAAAAGTATAATCCATATAGAAGGAAGCGTTTCCGACCCTACACAGTATATATATTCTTAATCAGGATCAATAGCGAAGTCTATTGAGCCATGTCCGTCTGTCCGTCTGTCCGCCTGTCCGTCCGTCCGTGTGTCCGTATGAACGCTGAGATCTCAGGAACTATAACAGATACAAAGTTGAGATTAACCAGGAAGATGCTTTAGGTTTAAACGCAGCAGCAGTTAGGCTTAAAAACACGTATTAAAGAGATGCCATCTTTGCCTCGTCATGAGTTTTCATCCCGCCACGCCCACTCTATTGCCCACAAACCTCGGAAAACTGTGGCGTCATAATATTATTTTGAATGCCTTCGTTTGACCTTGTATAACTTATTTCTGTTAATATCTATCGATTTGCTAAAGATATTTTAAATCGGAACATTATTTCGCTATTTATGAAGAAACGGTTATCTTATAGTCGCGGCACTCGACTATAGCGTTTCCTCTTGTTTTATGTGTTATTTCAGTTTGAATGTTAATTTTAGTGTTTTAGCCCGTATATAAATATTTTTTATAATGTTTTAAAAATATCTAAATTTATTGCCTTCACCAGCATCAGTAGTAGATGGACATGTAGGGGTCATCCCATAGGATAGGATTAGATGGCCATTGGTAGGGAGGGCTTAACAAAACCTCAACAACCGACGAGGTTGCCGTGTCGCCGGCGTATGTTGTAGGCAACTCCCACCCGAGTGACGACACTAGGTTTTTTAAATTTGTTACATAAGATAGTGTCGATGCACATAAAAATATATCCAAGTTTAAGACCGATCTGATCACGCCTTCCCAGTCGCCCATATGGTATAGGTTTCCTCCTATTGATACTTGTACGGTAAGAAACTATGCTAGCACTCGTTAAATTCAACAAATGTTTTTAATTAATTTTTTTAACACTTGACTTACATTTTAATAAAAATAATTTGTCAACGCATTCAAAATGACTATAATTATGTATTTTTCATTTAATAATGTTCCTAACAGTAGTCCTTTAATTAATTTCTAAACGTATTTCCATAGTCAGAATCTGAATCACTATTGTCGGAGGAGCATTTGAATATAACATAAATTTGGTTGAAACAATGTA